ATTCCTGCTCTGCAGAGTGGCCATCAGAAAGAAAGGCATAGTTATGGGGACATTTTCTTTCTTTCTCCTTTTAGCACATTTCCTTCCCTCTACTTAGGCTGTGCTGGGAATTCAGTATGAGACTCTAAATTAAAATAATTTGAAGGACTCAGTATGATTGCAGAAGCCATAACCCCCTACACCAGACCTGCTGTCCAGCTTGGGGGAAGGCTCTCAAGGCAGGTGGTCATTGGGTCCTTGGAAGACGCTGCTGATGGGCATTCGGCACCACCTTCCCATGTGTTTACCCCTATATGCAGTGTGTTTGCCCATATATGAAGAGGGCCACATTGTTGTGTTTTGGCAAAATATCTCTCAGGTATACTTCCCAGAAATGCTCTGATAGATTTTGTATGGTGAGCTCTTTGGATCCAGTACATCATTGGAAAATTTTCTGGGACAGATAAAGCAGCATTCATGCGCTATCCATAAATGTGTGTGTTACGTGAAGTATGACGACTATTCCATTAATTTATGGTTCTGATTATATACGAAGTGTCAACCCACGAGTAGTGAGAACAAGTTTATTTTAATGCAGCTGATTACACAGCACTGGAAGAGAAAGGATAGGCTGATGTTGCCCTTGCATAAATTCTTAATTTTTTAAAAGAAATTCTCCCTTAGGGCTAGTTTTCAAACTCAGAATAGCTTTAACAGACTCATATTTGAAAGAAGACAGCAACGGACTTATAAACAGACTTGTTTTTAAGAATCATACAATTATGGGCAACGTAGGGTAATTTCTCCCGTAGCGCAAGTAAAGATCCACACATCATCTCACAGAGGTTAACATGAGGCTGTCAGATGTAAATGTTATGGAGGAATTCTTAATCCTCTGCTGGACAATAAAGTGATTTTTTTCACAAATAGTTTCCTGCTATCCAGAACCAGAGCTGAACTGTGTGCTAATAAACACAAGGCAGAGGTGTATTGTCAGATGAGTTTTCTTGCAGGCAAACACTTAAAAAAACCCCAGGTCATGACTTGACCAGTCATGTAGAAAAACAATCATCAAACAAAAAACATTTCTGGAGGTATAATGAAGGGAGGCACGCAAGGGACTCCTGCGTGGATGATTTACCTGATTCTGACTTGTCAAATGAGCATAATCATTCAGTTTTTTTACATTGACCAGGCATGCTCTGCAAAGTGTAACGCTGGCTAAATGACAGTTTGTCAAAATCCATGGGAAAGAAAAAAAATACATATTGGTTTGCACGCTAGAATTCTCCCTGCTCCCATGAATGTCATTAAGAAACTCATGAATGTCTTAGAATACCATCTGTGGGAAATTTTATCTTCCACCTGTGACTGAAAAGGCAGACATCATCAAAATTATGTATCACTAAAAGAAAAGCAGCCGTAATTTTCAAGGTGAAGCAGGCAAATATGGTGAACAACATATATCTTCCCATTTTCCTCCATCTTGTGAAGCATTTATAGACACATAAAAACTGGTATGCAGAATGGTATCAATTTGATTTGGCAGAATTTACTTTGTTCAGGGGAAAATTACCCCATTACATAGCAAGGCAATGGGGAATCACCTGCAGCAACTCACTGGTATTTCCTTTCGTGTAAAATCCCAGCCAGCTATAGATCACCTAGGCTGTCCTGGATAAGTTGGGGTTAGATATCTGTGCCTACAGTTGCAGAAATCTCTGTTGGGATAATTCCTGACTCAAGCAGAATTTTCTTCTACTTAAGGAAAAAAAACGACTCAGATGAAATAGCAGAGAGCACCCAACATGCACAGAGCAATCCAGGAAGAAAAGCTGCTCCCTGCCACGAAGGTCGGTCACTTGCTTCAACATTGGACACGGGAACAGCCACTTCCGATGTTTGTGATTGATAGTGTTTAGTGGATCTTGATTGCAGACAACAAAGTCTGTTGGCTAAATGCCCTGATTTTCCAAAGATCTCATCATTTGTACTCAGAGTTATTCTGCAGTCTTTTCCTTGGCTCTTTTACTACTTTCAAGCAAGTCTTCAAGAACTAGAAGTTGGACCAAAAAGATATTGTATCCCAACACTGTATCTTATTTATTAGGAAAAACTCTAGAGGAATGCTTATATTGAATATTCATTTATGTACCTCCACAGTATTAAAGAGACCCGTGACTGCAGATGAGCTTTTGGTGCCTGGAGCCCCATACGTAAGAAAAACTTTCACGGTATGTCTCCAGTATTTTTCTTTATTTTCTGCGTGTTGTATGCATAAGGTAATCCAAACAGACATTTTCTGATGGGATAATTAGAGCTTATTTGCATTTGCTAAGGTTTGTACTTTAAAATCCCAAACTCCGTTATCAGTACTTCCACACATTTCAGGTCTGATTCTGCACTTGTTTATCCTGTCTTTATGCCAATATAGTACTGCTGACATAAATGGAGTGTAAAATTACACAAAGCCAATAACATTTGTATTACACAAACTCATCTAGACTTTGTGCTTCTGGTAATACTTGCACTGCAGGAGTGGATTACCTACCCAAATTGAAGTTTTCTACTTAGGTCTTTCTAGACTGTGATGGGACAGAAATTTTGATGCATATTCACTATTAGAGAAAGCCTTTCTGTAAAGACATTTTTGAAGCTAGTCATTGGAAGCATTGCTTTTTACAGTCTCCTAGTTCAATGAAAAAAGTTCATTAAAAGCAAGAGGAATAATTTGGATAGAGCCTTTCCCATGAGTGGTATAGCAGCCTGTACACAACGTCCTTTACTATGTGTTGGAAGTATAGACATTTGAAATTATGTCTTGAACGGTTTAGATGTTGCCCCCTTGAATTTCACCAAGCTGCCTGAAAGTGATCACATCCTTCATTTCTCTTTCCAGATCGTTGGCGACGCGGTGGGCTGGGGCTTCGTGGTGCGGGGGAGCAAGCCCTGCCACATCCAGGCTGTGGACCCCAGCGGGCCGGCAGCCGCGGCTGGGATGAAGGTGGGTTTTCAAAATGGGACGAATTACTGGGGGTATTTACACTTCTCCGTGATGTTCTTGGGCTGCCTGTACTTGGGGAGGGAGAGGTGCTTTTGTTTCCAGGATTGAGGATCATTGTCTCAGTTTCAGGCATTTGTACACAGTAAGTTCTGCTGCCTTTCACCCCCCTCCTGTGTCTTTTCTTCTGTCCTTGAGATTCTTCAAGTCCCTTTTTCACATGAAACTCATTTACCCATTCCAAGTTGCTTTTTTGATCTTTTCTCTTTTTTGGATTTTTTTTTTTTGGTTGGTTGGTTGGTTGGTTTTGGTGATTGGTTTTTTTTTTTGTGGGGTTTGGGGTGGGTTTTTTTGTTATTTTCACCTTTTTCCAACTCTGCACAATTTTAGCCTCCCTCCTCTTGACTTTACAATTTATGTGGTTGTTGGTATGCAGCTTCTGGACTTTGCTTGTACAGAAGTCATAGAAGTCATAGAATCGTTTAGGTTGGAAAAGGCCTTTAAGATCATCGAGTCCAACCATTAACCTAGCACTGCCAAGTCCACCAAAGAGGACTTGGAAGGACAATAGGAAGAGGCAAAGTCAGACATACCTATTAAAAGTGAAGCTAGCATAACCTGTTGTTCACTATAAAGCAGTTAAGGTTCAAGACATTTTGGAAAGAGGAATGTATGATACTTTCATATTTCATAAAGAGTTTAAGTACTTTCATACAGGATTTAAGAATAAATAAATACAAACTCCATGTGAAGGCTTTTGTACTGCTAATGCAGAGCCCATTGACTTACCTACGGGTTTGGATCACGTCCTGCAAATATCTGTGAATTAGTTATTCTCTTGTAAAGTGGGAAAAATAAAAGCAAAGCTTTATGCCAAGAACAGATAAAAGCAAGAAACTAACTGCTATGCCTACTCCAGTGTTGAGGCTGGGCCAGACACAAAGATTAAATGATCAGCTTATGTCATGTTTTATTGTATGGTAACAACACAGGTGAAGGTTTCAGATGTAATTCCACGTGCAGACCACTTTGCTGCAAATTTTGTCCTGCCTTCTAATTTATTTCCCTTTCCCATCACACTCACCCCAGCTGTCTCTTGCTCTTATGTTCACACCGACCAAGCTGGAGGCAGTGTGCGCTGCCACGACTCCAGAGATGAGCATCCTGCCCATCGCACGATGCCAGACCTGCCATGGCACCCTCCTTAGCAAATGCACTACAGGAGTTTCTTCTTTCTGTCTTCTGGGGTTTTTTCATGAAACTTGTAAGAATGTGCTGTCTTTGAAGCATTGACTTTTTCTGAGTACGGGCAGGCAAACCCCTGGGAAAGGGAATGGCAGCTGCAGAGCCTGTTGGTGCAGGCAGCACTCTGCCTGACACATCCTGCTGGCAAACGGCTTGATTCCTGAAGGAGCTGGAATTTTTTATATGTTTTATACAATACCTAAATATAATATGCAGTTACAATTTTCATATGAAGAGTATAATTTTCAAAAAGTAATCCTGCCTAAAATTTAAAGGACTTAAATTTAAAAATAATCAATTTATTCTAAAACATGTGTATATTCTAGATCCTGAATTTGGGCATTTAGTACTTTACAGCATCTTTTATTTTCTGAATATAGCAGCTAGCAGTAAAGTAGATCTATTCTGAAACCTGACTTGTAAAAATATATGTATAATCTTAGAGATTTCATTTCTGAACACAGCAGCTTAGAGCTGAATATAGTGGGCCCTTGGTTTGTTTTTACTTTTGGTTTCATGCTGACAGCTCTGCAACTACACATTAGGACGTACAGTTAAGCTGGATTCTTTCATATTTCACCTCTGAAACTGGTTTTATGTACCAAATTATGTCCTTGTGTCTTCCATTCGTGCTCTCCGTGCGCTAATGTACTCTGATGGGGTTACAGAGGTTTACCTGAACCATTCAAGACATAAGAATGTAAAATAGTCCGCTGTACTGAGGGGAGCAAACAGTATTTTAGACAGTAAAATTGGGATATATTGCCTTGAATTTGCACAAAGGATAGATCTGATTATTTGCAAAGGTGCTATCTCTATGTAAAATCACTTTTCAGAGCAGAATTGCACATAAAACATTATGGCCATATATTAGTAGAGTCCCTGTTTAGGCAGCAAAATTGGTGCTCCATTTTCAGAAACGCTGAATACCTTTAGCCCCTGGTGTAGAAATGCCAGTTTTCTTTGAAAATAAGGGTTTTTGTTGAGGTGTTCCCATGGCAATAGGTATGTAAATTAAAGTGCAGTATTTGAAAATTTTAAAAATCGATGTCACTTAATCCATCTGTTTACAGAACTCTTCAATCTGGCAAATTTAAAGGAATCGTATGACGGGCTTTAGATGACAGCTCCTTGAAAATAAACCTTCCCCTGTGTGGAAGCTGCAGGAGGGGCACTTCGAAAATAGACCGTTGGGCACGGTAACTTCTGGTGGGCTGGTGCAAGAGGCTTTTGTCTGCCAGTGTTCCTCTGAGCGCTACACCAAAGAAGCGCTAACAAGGAAAGTTGGCTATGATGAAAAGGGCAAGAATTTGAAGAAGAGCCAAAACTTGGCGTTGCAGTTTGTAGAAGAGTTCTTGGCAGGAGCAGCAGGGTTTTTCCTCCTAAGGAGATGTATCTAGTTTAATCCTTTTTGGAAGTGTCTTTATTTGTAAAGCTTGTGATTTTGCACTTACCTCTCTTGGAGAGCTCTATATTCCTGTCTTTGCATTACGCTGGACAAATTGCTGAGGGAGGACTGCTGTCTACAATCTCATTGTAGGACCTCACTTTGTGCAGTTAAAACTCTACCGTGTATTATATAAAGCAGTAAACATTACAGGCTCATGTACCTGAAGGACTTTGTGGTGTCTTGCTTTCAGTCTGACCTTGGCTGAGTTCCTGGCCTGCTCCAAAGCGCTGTGAATTGGGAGTCTCGGTAGAAATCTCAATGAGCTTGGGATGGAGCTCTGACCACACACAGCGGCTGAGGGGTGGGCACGGTGCTGGGCGGCTGGGATGCACGGGTCTCCGTCACACACGCGCACCTCTGCGTGGCAGCACTTGCCATCTCGTTATATGGGACATCCTCTTCTGGGGGGATTTTCAGACAATTTAATTCTGAGAAAATCCCTACTAGCATGGTCTGCTGAAGAGGTGTGAGAGGGTGTAATGGTTTTGGCTTTATGTCTTGACACCTTTTCTGGGGCTGGTAAATAGGATTACCATTTACAATCCGAGGTTTCAAGTGTGAAGCTGAGCAAATAATTTAATAAATATCTCGTCAATTAGCTTTATTAAAGTATTTTTAGACGTGGTTTGTTGAAGTGCGGTTGCCTGTGACAGCGTTGTGAAGAGCGTGGTTGCTGTAAGCACATTAACAAGTGGGAGCTGGAGGCGATGCGGGGCTATGAAAGGAGTCAGTGTTGCGATGTGTACTTCTAAGTTATTTGCAGCTCTGTTTTGCTGTCTGCTGTCGTCAGCAGTGGAAGACAGGAACAGCAGGATTTTAAAGTTCCCAGGTTGCTTTAATATTCAGTATTGACTGGTTGCAAAATTCAGGTTTCTGCGGATGACACTGCTAAATATTGCCGGTTGTTCTCAGAAAAAACTCTTTCCAGTGTTTTATTCTGTAAGTTAATTTCTGTTTTTGAAGTACAAGTATTCTTTGAAAAGTTACACAACTTGACTTCAAACCAGTGACTTAAATTACGCATCACACGTTGTTATTTAGTGTGACATCACTGCAACAGAGTGTGGCAAAACGAGCAGACCTAGCTTAGTGTGAGACTTGTGAAAGAGATAAATAATCACTCATTTTGCTGATTATCTGTTCTTCCCTTTGGCTGGAGAGATCAGTGCCCAGTTCTAACCTTTGCAGAATGCTAAAGAGTATCTGTCTCCTTAAACCGATTATGAGCAAATTAGTATTTATAGCTGAGACCTGAGGTCTTTGTGTCATACAAGTTGCCAATGGCCACTCAAGCTTTTCTACCCTATTCTAGTTCTTCTTCATTTCAGTTAGTCGCAGAGGGTTTGGGGGACCACGTATGGTCACTGGTACCAACCCCTTCTGTTTTGAGCTCTGCTTGGGGATTATGGTGTACAGCCAGGATCATTTCAGTGTGGTTCTGCTCTCCTGATCTTTAAAAGCTGGCGCAAAGAGGAGGTCAGCCTCATAAATTTTCTGCCTGTGCCATCGTCTTCTACATTCACAAATGATTATTTCAGGACCAGGTTCTCAAATGATTTCGCTAGCAGAATAAGAGCCAAATCTCGAGTGTAACTGAGTAGCCACTGTTTTGTGGAGCAGATTGCTGTCAGGTCCATCGAGGTCATCAAGCCCAGTCTCCCTGCAATCAAAGGAACATTGGTACTATCTGATTAGTCCACAGAGTCCAAATACTGCCACAGTCACAAAATATTACAGGCTTGTAACATAAAGGACTAAAAGCCATGCATTATAAGGTGCCAAGTCGGGAGAAAACCAACCCCAAAGCATGTGATATCAGAGACATTGCCAATGCCTTCGATTCCTGCAATAGGAAGAAATTTGAACTGTGAAATTCTCGGGAGGTTGAACGTACCCCATGCTGCAGAGAAATGCAAAACCCACTCCATGGTCCTTGCCAATCTGACCTCAAAACTGGTGATTGCTTAACTGACAAGCAAGATAAACCAGTCTAAAAATCTTTTAAAAAATTATTCCCCCAGGAAAAAATATCCCATTTATGGCTGTGGCCAATCTCCAATGTTTTACAGGATAGCGAGTAGAGAAGCTTGGACATCGTAAGTGAGAAACTTCTTAACTCCTAAAGGCAGCCTAGCGAGAGCTTGAAGACTGGGATTTATATTGTATAAGGAAGGCACAACAAACATGGCTCCATTTAAGCCTGTCCATGAAGCTTAGGAAAGGGAAGATCCCTCAGTGTTTGGTGCTGGGACTCTAACCCTTTAAAGCACTAGGGAGATGCTTCAGTGCTAATTGAAGGTATCCAGAG